TATATATTACCTGTAGGCTGCTCAAATTCACCCAAATGTCTTTTTCACCAAGCTTCACTGGAACCTTAATCACCACAGTGAAATTAAGTGCTCTGATATCATTTGTAACCTAAATGAGAAAGCAAAAGTATAGCCAAGTATTATAGTTACGTCTAAATAATATAGTTAGCTTTTAAAAATACTGGTATATGCAGAAATTATAGCTGACCTTGACTGATTGTTGGACTGGTTTCTGCAAATCATTCATCCCAAATGTGAAATTGTTGTAACTGTGGGAGCTAAATATTAAATAAATATAAGTAAACATTTTGTCCATTTCTAAATGATCTACACACACACACACACACACACACACACACACACACACACACACACACACACATATATATATATATATATATATTTATATTGGAAGAACACGTACCTTTCAAATGTCATAAAAATGCTGTATTTCACATCAATTGATTTCTTTTTGTAGAGGTCACTTGTAGGGGCATGATCCTGATTTCCACTAAAAAGAGTAACTGTTATTATTTATAATGTATTTGTAGGCTATTGCATGAATGATGATGGGTACCTGGACCAAAGGAACCGTACAACAGTACCTGGTGGCATTTGCAGTTACAAAGATCTCCCTCTCAAGTTGACTGTTGGTGTCAATCCCATAGGAGACAGTGAAGAAAGCCTTAATTGAATGAAAGAGATTAGAATGAATCCTCTTTGCCTTTAAGCTGTGCAAAACTGAGGGGGAAAAAGACACAAAAAAAATGTTCTGGACAAAAAAATAAAACAGAAATGAAACCTTAGTTTTGCTTTTGAAAATTGGCTTGTCAATAGTGCAGTCTGTCCTTCCTTGTGATAAACCATCTTCACTGTCCAAGGAGTTGCACTCAATTCTTCCCTTTATTAAGAACAAAATAACTGGTAGATACAATGGGAGAGCAGCAGATCAGTGGTGACTAACACAGACTTGTTGCTGATGCGTTACCTGCTGAATCGTAAACTTCCTGTAGGAGAGTCCAGCTGGGTACGTGAGAATAACACGACTGTTGTAGGAGTTTTCTCCTCTGTTCTCGACTGTGACTGTGACATTCAAAAGCTCATCAATGCCCACTTTAACCTCTGAGGATCTGTAAGAGGATGAGGAAGCAGAAGAATAAAAAGGGAAGAAATTAAGCCTACTCCATCCATCCATCTTCTTCTGCTTATCTGGGGCCGGGTAGCGGGGGCAGCAGCAGCCCAAGCAGAGAAGCCCAGATTTATTGCAAAGAATTGAAATTTG